TGCCGGCCTCATACATGCTTATGTATACACTTCATGTGCCCGCTCTGCCGGCCTCATAATACATTCACTCCACGTTAAAAATCCCCCGGTATCACCCTGGGATTCATGAGTGGATTCATAGCGCGCACGGCGTTGACCAGGTGTTCCCGCAGCGTAAGCTAGCTTACGCAATACGAGAGAACCTCTCGTAAGAGAACGAATCGGTTACCTAACGTAACCTCGGTTCTCTCTAGAAGAGGGAACGAGTATTGCGTTCCCGGCCGTGCTTGCGCTACTAGCGTTTCGCTTCACGCTGAAATAAATCAACATATAAGCCTGGGAGAGACTGTTATATACACCATGACCACGCCCATTCTGGCGGGCCATGACGCAATGAGCGCGCGGGCGCCTCTCATTGGAAGCGGGTTCAGCCCCGCTCTCCCATAGGCTTAAGCAGTTCTCTCTGAGCGAACCAATGAGCTGCTAGCTAGCCTGCTCTAGGTCTGCCGCAGAGGAACTGTGTTGTGTCCCGTCCTTCGGATGAGACGTTAAACCGAGGTCCTGACTCTCTGTGGTCATTAAAAATCCCAGGATGTCTTTCGAAAGAGTAGGGGTGTAACCCCGGCATCCTGGCCAAATTTGCCCAGTGGCCTCTGTCCATCGTGGCCACCTAATCATCCCTATATACTAATTGGCTTTATCACTCTGTCTCCTCTCCACCAGTAAGCTGGTGTGTGGTGGGCGTTCTGGCGCAATATGGCTGCCGTCGCATCATCCAAGTGGATGCTGCACATTGGTGGTGTTTGAGGAGATTCCCCCTTCTATGTGAAGCGCTTTGAGTGCCTAGAAAAGCGCTATATAAATGTAATGAATTATTATTTATTATTATTATGGATACAAATTATGAAATAATTTTTTGGCTTCAATATCTCAGCAAAGATGAATCTTTCCCGCAGCGTAAGCTAGCTTACGCAATACTCGTTCCCTCTTCTAGAGAGAACCGAGGTTACGTTAGGTAACCGATTCGTTTTTGTGAGTGAATGCAGCACAATCGCAAATACAAATGGACAATTTTAAAAAACGATTTTCTCAATGTTTCGATTTTTTTGCACCCTCAGATTCCAGATTTTCAAATAGTTGTATCTCGGCCAAATATTGTCCTATCCTGACAAATCATACATCAATAGAAAGCGTATTCAGCTCTCTTGTGTTCTACGGAAGTAAGAAATTCACATGGATTTGAAATGACATGATGGTGCGTGCGTAAATGATGTCAGAATTCTCGTTGAAACTAAGTGTTCCTTGGAGTGAAAAGAAGTATGTGTAACCCATTTTTAGATAAAAAAAAGGCAGACATTGAGAGCATAGAAAGAACTGCAGTGAAACAGACTAATATTTCCTATGTGTGGGTATTTTTTCATACATTTCCAGCTCTCTTTGTCATCCCAGTGATAACTTCACAATTATAAACCAACTTTTACACTTTAAGGACTATAAGCAGCAGGGGGCGATATAAATAGAAAAATCACATTGTGCTAGCTGTGTTTGTATGAGTAGGGCATAGGCTACATCCTAATTCAAATATTATCCTAAATAATATACAAGAATTAAAGTGTCTGAAATCATAGTAGGCTGAAATCAGTAAAAGTGCCAGCATGGTATATTTTTTTTTGTGTGATTTTATTTTATTTTTCAGAGTGTGCATGATTTTTGTGCTATTACCCACAATCCCTTGCACATTGGAAAAGGATGAGTTTGTGATGTTTTACTTTTTTATAGTTGAAAAGTGTCAAGGGTGCAAGGCCAAAGCTGCTGCTAAATAATTATTTATTATTTATTAGTAATTAAATTAACTTACTGCTATCAAGGTACAGCACATGAATCATTTTACCATGTGTTCCACTTGTACTCAGAAGTCAGAAATTCCCAGTAGGAAGTTTTAACTGGAATGCCCCCTCAAGTCAGAGTTCCAACTTGGAAACTCAGAGGAACGCTCACAACCCTGACTTGAGTATCCAAAATGGCTTCTCAGCACCTCAACAGTAAGTGAAACAGAACTGTTTATTAGCACTTCTGTTTGTCTTTGTCTCAATGCAAACATTACTTGCCAAACTCTATCTGTGGACATTATTTGTGCAAAATGCTTCTTTTTAATAAACAACAAAGGTTTGCTGGACGCATCCATCTTGGTTTTCCGACTTGTGTACACTTGGTTTTCCGACTTGTGTGATTTCATTCAAAGCTCCAAAATCCGACTTCCAAGGTAAACACACCATAAGCACCAGATTAGCACTAACAGGCCTCAACTGGATAGTATGGTTGGATCAGTTGTTTGTGAATATTTATAGAAATTGTATGAGTTCTAAATGTATCTCAGGTATGAATCATTGTATTTAATCATTTGAACAAAATTACTGTACAAATGGTTCCAGTAAAAAATAAAGTAGTTTTGAGTTTTGCATGTGGTTCAATGGAGAGTTAAGCTTTTTAAGCATGTAAGCACCCCCTTGAGGAAGCCCACTTGTGTCACATAGAAAAGGTTTCATAGGTTATTAGCCGCCAAAATTTCCCACCCAGTGCTACACAATCTAAAGTATGTCCTTTACCATCACCAGCGAAGTGCATACTTTTATTGCGCACTGTAAGCAAGCAGATTGGAGCACAGCCTGTGTATGTTTATGCATGAATTAATGTGTATCTGCGTGTACACTTCACTAGCACCATGGTTTAAACTTGATTATCCAAAATTGAATTAACTTCCTAATCTCTCCCAACAGCTCTGTTAAAAGGGCCATTGTGTTATGGAGGAAGTTCATTTGACCTCAGAATATCTGCAATGTTTATCAAGTATAAAATGGTTTACAGAAAAGCACAATGAGGAACACTGTGAGAAACTTGTGCTTTTCTGCAACCACCTAGAAGGTAGTTGTACTAACCATGGTTCATAGTTCATGAATCTCACACTGTCCCAGTTAACAGCTGCTGGCTTTGATGTTCAAATCAGATTTACACTAGTCCGCCCTGTAAAATGGTGGGAGCGATTATATTTCTAGGGATGGGTAGGTAAGAACTCAAGAAAGAAAATAACAGAAATGAAAGAAAATCTAATCTCAACTTGTTCTCAACTTGTTTTGCTTCAAGGACAATGAAAAAGTCCTTAAAATCAAACACTGAAAGTTTACCATTAAAATTGATTCAGAATGAACCATGCAAAAAAATATTCAAAATGATCAGTATGAGACAGGCTGTGTGAGGAAACAATTTTGTAAATGAAATGAATTACCATTCTAACATGTAAAACACACTTGGTCTTACTGTATTAGTTTTAGTCATATTGCAGAGTAACAGGTGAATTTGTGTCAAAATACTGCTAAGTTTGATGAGGCACAGTCTTTGACTTTGAAAGTTGATTTATTTTGCTCTGCGTTTGCTGTATTGGGAGCAATCTAGTTTTGATTTGCACTTGCAGTGTGTTACTCTCCTCTGGGAATGCCGTGATGACAGTCCTCTGGAGAGACATCACACACTCTCATACCACAGAGATCTTTAGGGATATAGACGTCCTGACTCCTTTGTGTGATTGTTTTGCTGCTGCTGACTGAGGTGTCTTTGTTTTAGCACTGAGCTCTGTTTATGTGGTAACCCTTTTCTGCCTAGGGCCACGAATCACTGAGGGACAATCTAACTCTCCCTGCAAAGAGTTGTTAAGGTTACAGCCCACCAGGGCAGCGTGTGTATGATCTGGCCTGATCCCTGGGCTGATCCCATGGCTGGGTTATTAAATGAGAAGTGAGTGTATAGAGTGAATGTTGCTGTTGATACTATGATACGGGACACCGGGCCTTGCTAGGCAATGAAGCATTCGCTCCAGAGAAAGTTACAAAAGACCATGAGCTGCTTAGTAGGGTCAAGTACAGTTCAGAAGGGCAGACAGGGTGCATTCTATTACCTACACACACACACACACACACACACACACACACACACACACACACACACACACACACACACACACACACACACACACACACACACACACACACACACACACACACACACACACACACACACACACACACACACACACACACACACACACACACACACACACACACACACACACACACACACACACACACACACACACACACACACACACACACACACACACACACACACACACACACACACACACACACACACACACACAAACAAACATGTGTGCATGGATCTAATAGTGCTACTCCTGAAAAATTGATGTGAGCCACTATAAAATTTCCTAGAGGCTCTTGAGCGCAATGGTGGTGGTTTTATTCGCAAAAACTTGTTCGTAGCTTCTGTTTTGACCCAGAAGAGATACATAGAAAAAAAAATGCATAGCTTTTTGTACAGGAACCAAACTTTGCAGATGAGCCAAGACTATCAAATGTACCGGTAATGTTTTTTTTTTTACTTTTTAAAACATGAGATATAAACACTTTTTGACCTGGGTATTAACTAAGGCTTTATGATGTTATAGAGACTATTTTTTTTTAAACATCTATGAGTTACATGTCTCAAAATTTTGTAAAATATATTTATCCTATTTCCTATATCTCAAACAGAGTATTGGGACAAAAGTTTGTTGATAAACATGAATGCACCTATTGATGAACCACTGCAACATGAACAAATTATCTTCTTTTTCATTGGTTCAAGTGTGAATTTTTTTTTGTTATTTTATATATTGATGTTTTGTTTCAGGATTCATAAATTTAGACAATTTTTGTTAATACTGGTTATTCTCAGGTTACATGTTCTTATAAATTTCACATAATGAAGTAAAATGATTTATGATTTTGATTATTTCTGTTGGTCACGTAAATTTGAAATTCAGCAGTTCAGCAGAACATACCTTCATTATAGTGACATCATCAGAGTAATGCCAGACATTTGCAGGTGTTTGTGAATGATGTATGACGACTAAAGCAAAGAGAAGCACAGTTGGCTAGGTCTGACTAGTCAGAGCTGGTTACACTCACCCAAAGGGAGAATGCCATAAAGTGCGATGAGCTGTCTTACGTCAGAGAGAGATGGCATGGGCTCAATATCTGCTTGCCGCAGTGTTGTGCCCAAGTAACTGTATTCACCTAGAGAGACAAGGAAAAATATATGCCATACTGCTTTAAATATGCTAACAAACATCAGACATCAATGGCTGCTTGCCAGCACCGCATCATGTCACCGTTACACGGTTTCCATGGAACGCAAAAAACAATGTTAGAGTAACAAAGTTGTTCCGACACAGTCAATGTGGTATTCTATACTTTAAACGCCACACCCTGTTCCCGAAAAACAAACTAAACAGAAACTGAAATTTTAAGGCTTCACATTTCGTGTCATTTTAGAGCAACATTAGGTTGCTATGCTGTGCAGTTGAACCATTGATGAGTCATAAAATCCATTGTGGTGCGCACACACACACACATTCACATGGGTGTGATTAAGCACTGTGCATGTGTCTGTGGTAAAGTCGCTTTAGCAGTAAAGCCCAGTCTGAAACCCTGGGCAATGCATTTATCATAAAACTGATTCACTTGATTCACCGGTGTAACCGTCTGATTTCAATGTGCTTGTGAGATGTAACAAATGGCAATACATGAAAACCACTGAAAACAGTGTTCTAGGTAAAATCAATGTACACTAAATGTTCACATCAAAGCTGACACTGGACTTTATGTACTTTATGTGATTAAGCTGAACTAAGTCCAAAAAGTATGAACATAAATACTGAAATGTTTAGCAAAACAAATGATTTCAGAGGCAGTTTGGAGCCCCCATAAGTGTGACCACAGTCATTGAACTGGACAAGAGTCTCTGTTTTCATGTGGTATTACACTGTGCCAGGAGAAAGGAGACTGATTTCAGCAAGTGCAACATGTTCCTGGATCAACATCTTTGTTGATCCTGGAACATCATTCCAATCAACCAATCAGATTTGAGGGACAAGTTTAATTGCCCCCAAAATTTAAAAAATGTTAAATAAACTTTTAAAAATATAAATATAGTTCTTTTTTTTTTTTTTTTAAGTGTGATAATCTTTAATTTAAAAAACATTTTTTTTTCGGGATTTAAAATATGGTTATACAGTACTTTATTTTGACAGTCCACTTTAGAGATTTTACTAACCATAAGTAACTTTGCAACTATATGTCAACTAACTCTCAGAGTATTAGTAGACTATTAGATTATGGTGAATAAAGTGTTAGCAGATATTAAGCCGACAGTCTACTAATAATCTAACATGTAGTTGTAACGTTACTTATAGTAAGTAGAATGTCTGAATTGATTTAAAGTGTTACCTAAAATATTTTCAACATTTAAAGATAATTCAATTGGAAGGAAATTTGTCATACAACTGAAATGTGTACATCTTCAAAAATAATTAAATATATTTTTGAGTGTAATGTTTAAGCATTAATGCAGAATTAAGCAAGTGAAACAAATTATGGGGTTAAGAAGACATTACAGATTGTTAAAAACTAAAAAGACGTGACATTTATCTCAGTGGTGTTTAGTTTTTACCTATGTAATCGGACAACTTGATGTTCCTTGGCCTGATTATGAAGCCTTCCAGAACAAGTTCCTCATATAGAGATTCTATGGTCCTAGAGGGAAGACAAAAAGAGAGGTAAAAAGAAAGTTTGGAAGAGAGGAAAAAAAGAAAGCATTGCAAACAAGAGAGCAAAGTGATCAGTCATGCTGTGTATCTGACGCAAACTTCTATTACATCACAGCGTTCAGAGCCAGCCGGGAATTCTTGTGCTCCACATGGATGTTTGCCAGGCACCCCCTGAGCTCCAAACCCTGACACTCACTTGAGCACTTTCCAGAAGCACAATCCCTCTATTCCAGAACTCTCACAGTGCACTGGTGTTTAACGTATGACCAACATCTCCCAGTTGCAAACAGTGCCAGGGGTCAAACATGCTCTTTTAGCAATGATTAAACTACATTATAATATTCTTGAGAAATAGACTTTGCATTTTAAACCAGTTTATTTATTCAAACCTGTCAGCTGTGAGATCCTTCTCTTTCTTCTTCTTCTTTCCAGTCTTCCGCCCTTTCTTTTTTTTCTAAAGCAAAGAAAATGTGTTTTTAGTTATGGACAACAATATAGGAAAATAATTCTGAATCAAGAATGACAGGGGAAGGAAAGTATGTGTTGTAGATATGATATTTTTCCTTTCTGGTTTTTAGATTGAAATAAGTCTTAACATTAGTTAAAGTGTGATTAGATTAGTGTCAGATTGTAAAGGAAGTTTATTTTCCTTTTAACAACAAGGCATGTCTACGTGTCTGTTTCAGTATATTAAATCTTCCGACCCTACAATGTAACATGTAAATAACAAGTGTGTGGCATATGCTTGCATCCAAAATGTAGAAATCCTGAAAAACCTCTGGTGACTTGACATAAACAATCACTGTGTGGGATCAAGTGATGGTCTGTACGTGTGTGTTTCCCTGATAATAGACTGTACACCCAGTACAGCCGTTTTTATGCAGCCTACTGGAGGAGACACCTTGGAACTTGCTGTAATTCAGGGCTTTTTCAAACCACAAATGAACCAGACTAGCAGGATTAGCAACCAGGAATTTCCACGAATGATATGTTACCAAACGTTCTAAATATTTGTTCGGCGAGTAATAGAAACCCACTTACTTCATTTTCTCAGAAACTGGGACTGAACATACTGTGATTCCCCAAAATATTTTTATGGAGAATCTTGGATCATTTTTTGGCAGGTCTCAGTATGTTAGTCAGAGAAATTAAGATCATGAAACTTTTATATAAGACAGGATGAACTCCTGCTAGCATTAGCTCAGCTTGGGCGTTGCATGTTCATTTAACAAACAAACCCTCCCTCTTGCATAATGTTCAATTTGATGTTCCCTAATTGCATGGCTTCCTAAATTCACTGAATGTGTTTTAAAATTCCAACAAAGTTCAATGTGCAAACCTACTTCGATGAATTAACAGCTGGAATTCAGTCTTACGCCAGCAGAGCTGAATAGGGTATCCGTGTGCCTGCATTTGCTGAATGATTAATGATAAAAAACATCTTTGTGTATAAATTACACACGTCGGACAGACAGCGTCTGTGACCGATTTAGCTGTCAAAACCTCTCAGCGTAAAGCAACTCAAGCAGGGTGCCAAATATGTTGTTGAGGAATTCTAGCTCTTGTGCAGGCATGCAATGAGGCCTTTTTCTATGCTTCTTGTTTTGGAGAAGACACAATAGTGACTGATTGCAGGAAATATAGAGATGGATTGGTCTCCTATATATTCCCATATATTTATAGGTCACAGTTAAACAGAGCCACACACATATTCACATACATACACAAACAGATCTATCTTTTTATATGTATATTATTCTGTCTAAATATTGCCGGCATAGTAATGGATGTTTTTACTTTGCAAATATAAATGTCTAGAATCAACACTCCGATAATACTGCTTCCAGGTCAGCTTTTTTTTGTTTCAGAGTAAAAAAATAAATAAAATCATGACACATTATGAGTTGTAATAAAGTCACATTGTGAGATATAAAGTTGCAATTGTGAGAAACAAAGCTCCAATTGCAAAATTTAAAGTCATATTGTGAAATAAGTCAGTTATGAGAAGTAAAGTTGGAGATAAAGTTTCAATTTTGAAAAACATAGTAGCAATTGCAAAACAAATAGTCCCATTGTTTTTTACTCTGTGGCCAAAACAGGATTTCTATAGTTCTAGAATATGCTTTGAGATAATACATTTAACTATACATTTACATGTCTATGACTACCGTATACATACATTATGTACTTTACCATATGTCTTGGTCCTCTCTTCATATATTACCATATATTGTGTGTGTTTGTGTGTGTATGTGGTTCAGGTATACTCTACGTTACCGGGACAAAATGTCCCCACAAAGATGGCAATATTCGAAATCCTTGTCCTTGTGGGGACATTTTTTGGTCCCCATGAGGAAAACAGCTTATAAATCATACTAAGTGATGTTTTTTGACAATTAAAAAAGATTTTAGTTTTCTGTGATGGGTAGGTTATAGGGTAAGGGTTCAGGGAAATAATTTACAGTTTGTACAGTGTAAAATTCATTATGTCAATGGAATGTCCCCATAAAACATGGAAACTCAACATGTGTGTGTGTGTACCTGGTATTCCCTACGTTATGGGGACCAAATATCCCACAACGATAATCATACTGGTAATTTTTTTTTGGGTCCCCATGACGAAAACAGCTAAATAATACTAAATTAAGTGTTTTAAAAAGAAAAGTAGAAAGTTTTCTGTGATGGGTAGGTTGAGGGGTTAGTGTAGGGAGATATAATATACAGTTTGTACAGTATAAAAATCATTGCATCTAAGTAGATCCCCATAAAACATGGAAACCAGTGTGTGTGTGTGTGTGTGTGTGTGTGTGTGTGCGTGTGTGTGTGGTGGAGAAGGTGGGGAACAGGGGCCCTATCAAAACACAAGCTGACGAGGGCAGGACACCTTTACTAATTCTCTGTCCAGACCACATTCCTGGTCATGAGGGCAGATCACTGTATGACCCCAGGGCCCCTCACACAAGGTGCATAAACAGAGGGCAGAGAGTATATCTCAAGATCTGGATTCATCCAGACTAAAAGACACATTACTGGGTTTTACAGACCAGTCACCATCTATAATCTCAGGAACATCAGGGAGCACTGAGCATCTGTACACTGTCACTCATGCAGAGAATTTAAAATGCGCTTAAGGTCTTATCTCAAAGGAAGAAGTATGCATGTCTGCCATTCACCTTTTTACTACTTTTCTTGACTTTTTTCTTTTTCTTTCCCTTGTCTCTGTCCACCACCAGTTTAAGGTTCTTCAGTTCCTGCCTCATCAGCTCGTCCACCTGAGACAAATATAAAAACATAGATGGAGAAAGAGGAAAAAACATGTGATGGCCCTCATGTTGTTCCAAACCCATAAGACTTTCGTTCATCTTCGGAACACAAATTAATATATTTTTGATTAAATCTGAGAGCTGGATCACTCCTCCATAGGCTTCTTAAGGGATCGAAACTGGCCGGCCCAAAAGTTATGAAAGACATCGTTAATATAGTCTGAGTGACTACAGTCGCTCAATCTTAAGTTTATCAAGCGTCGAGAATACTTTTTGTGGGCAGAAAAAACAAACAAAAATAACGACTTTATTCAACTATTCATTTCCTTCCCTGTGGTCCTCGAGTGAGTTCACGTAGTGATATTGCGCAAAGCTTCTGTGTTGTACGTCACACGCATCACACATGACCAGCGTCGGCCAATAGTGAGCCTACGTGTGACGTGCAACACAGAAGCTTTGCGCAATATCACTACGTGAACTCATTCGAGGCCCACAGGGAAGGAAATGAATAGTTGAATAAAGTCGTTATTTTTGTTTGTTTTTTGCGCACAAAAAGTATTCTCGTTGCTTGATAAACTTAAGATTGAGCGACTGTAGTCACTCAGACTATTTTAACGATGTCTTTCATAACTTTTGGGCCGGCCAGTTTCGATCCTTTAAGAAGCCTAGGGAGGAGTGATCCAGCTCTCAGATTTAATCAAAAATATCTTAATTTGTGTTCCGAAGATGAACGAAAGTCTTAGGGGGTTGGAACAACATGAGGGTGAGTAATTACTGACAGAATTTTCATTTTTGGGTGAACTAACCCAAACTAAGTGTTTTGTTTTCATAGAGTGTTATGACTTTCATAAAATGTAGTGCAGAAAGAGTGATGATTTCTTTACTCCCAACCAGGATTTGAATTCATGAGGGTCCGAGACAAAATTATGAAGCCTAGGGCCCCACTTCGCATATTATTGGCAAGTTAAAGATGTGTTTACTGGGACCCCTTCATCACAGGCCCCTGGTTCCCCCCCCTGATGACAGCTCTGCTCCCACCTGAACTCTGAGCTCCTCTTCAACTTCCAATCTCTTCTCCTCTCGCACCAACTGAGCATCGAAACTTTGAATGAAGTTCTGTTTTTCATCTCGGTAATGCCAAACCTCTGCAACGCACAACAAATCCACAGAGGATGTTGATTTATGTAAAACTAAATTTCAACAACCGTGATAATATGATCATACCACAGGGAAACCGCCATGGTTATTGACACATCTAAAACGACAGAACATACAGACATTATCTGACATGTGAAAACAAACTTGAGTTGGACACAAAGCATCAAAGTATAGTCAGGAGAACATCAGTCAGCACTGTGTGTAAAAGAGGAAACAATTCTGAGAGGGGTCTGGAGGGCCTCAGTCGGACCTCCTGCGTGTGGAGCATAGCGGAAGCACAGGTGCAGTAGTCTGGGTGAGAACGCAGCGTCTGATTGTACTCCGTGCTGCGCTCTCACGCGCCACATCCTGACAGGAAGTCCATTTCCACCCACTTCCTATCCTGGCTAAAGGCAGTACGCCAGGTTGATTTGGAAACTGGAAGAGGACTGAATGGCAGGGTCTGACCTCACAATGAGTCTGAAGTTGTTTTTCCCTGTTTTGTTCATTTGCATATCATAGAGATAAAAAACAGCAAACTTAATCTAAACTGGCCAGGACAAACATTTGTGAAAGTGTGCTAAATATTACATTTGGCAGATGATTTTACTCAAAGCAACTAGCAGTGAATTCAAAGTTTATATTTTTATCAGTTCATGTATTTATCTGAGAATCAAATCCATGACATTGGTGCTTGTGCTACAGTTCTTGTAACAAAGCCTCATAAACAGCAGGGTTGTGCACCTTTTAAAATTCAATACATTTGAATACATTTTTTAAATTCAAATTCCAGTTTCAGTTGTTCAGGTGTCAGTCAAATTTCAGTTTCTAAATTTCAATTGAGGTAGCAAATAGGAACTAGACCCGAAATTCAAATTGAGCGAGTACATAAAAAATTAGCGTGAGAGCGCAATTCCAAAAAAGCACCGATGGGAGTGGAAAGTTCTGCGCAGACAAGCAGTGCAAATTAGCATCTGGTTTAAGACATGCTTTTTTGGGCGGTAAATAATGGCGCAAATACCAATAAATTGACTACCACAAACCTTGGTAAATCACCTTGAAGGATTCATTTAAAATACTCTACTCCCATAAATTTTGCATCTGTAAGGGAAACTCCTACAAATGCACATGCAATAAGGTCAGCCGCAAAAATAACCCTGTCCACTCAATTTCAGTGCTAATTTTTCACCGTGTGTCTTTAGTAAATCCTGACAGTAGTTTTTTAACACCAAAAAAGATGTTAATAAATCTGGCCCTATGTCTAAAATAATGATGTAAATTTTGAGCAATTGGGACTGATTTGGTGGCAAATTCCAGGTTTACGTCATTTGTCCTTGCATGTTTATGTCGTGTCCGGAAACACAGACAGCTACTATATACAGATCAGCTCTGATATGATCACTGGTAACATTGCACTTCCTCAAACAAAAAGCAGTGTCGAAGAACATATGACTGCTCTGCAGTCATGTAATTTCAACCACAGAATGACGGTAGAGAGGCAAAAATTCTGTACTGCAGCTTGAATGAAGCACAAGTAAAATGAAATTAAAACTGAATTGGGTAACACTTTATTTTGATGGTTCCTTTTGAAAATTCTGTTGACTATAAGTAACTTTGCAACTACATGTCAAATAACTCTCATTTGAGTGTTAATAGACGGTCTGCTTAAATATCTGCTGACTCTTTATTGTGATGGTCCTCCAACAGACATTCTTCTGACTATAAGTAACTTTGCAACTACATGTCAACTTATTTGAACCCTAACCCTTCCAGTCTACTAATACTAACACTCTAATGAGAGTTAGTAGACATACAGGTGCAAAGTTACTTATAGTCAACAGAATGTAAGTAAAGTACAAATCATAACCCTAATAAGTGTATGTTATAACACGGAAAAGGAAAGACTGTCAAGACAGACTCCGAATCTTGGCTTCAGTCTTTTTTGAAAGTTTCTATTAAAAAAAGTTTAAAAGTCACTAGATGGACCCTGTTGGTGTCTTTTTGACCGATTGAGCATGTCGAATCAGTGTTGGCCAGTCTTTGAGAGAGATCCCTCTGATTGGCTGTTCAGCTTATTGAACCAATGAACAAGAATTATAGTTGAACTGATTGAGTAAGAAGTTATTCTTTAATGACAAGAAGTCATTGCGTAATGATTGTGCAAATGTGTAATATGGTGACGTAGCTAAGCTAATAATGGCAGGACTACAAACGAGCAAGTGTTTCCTGTTGGAAAAATGTACTTCCTTTGGTGTGGACCTTGTGCTTTGCAAATCTGCAGATCATTTACATGCACAAACATCTATATTACACACTAAAGGAAAGGTGAAATAAAAAAGCATAATAGGTGCCCTTTAGATTCTGAATTTCGAACAACACTAATAAGCAGTGTTGTCAAGTTCACACAGGGGTCAAAGGGCACTGATGTTAAAGCTCACTCTGGTGGAACCTAAAAATAAGCATCGGACTTTGAAATGAGATCCCTTGGTGAGGTCAGAGGTCAAACTGCCGTCCACAAAGCCTCCTTTTCAAAGTCACATTTTCAAAACATCCCGGGGCAATACGATCCATATAATTGCCTAGTTCCTTCAGAGGGATGCATTCACATAGCCTGGCCTGTTTGTTTAAAGACAACATCCACCTAACTCTCTTGAAAACACATGACTGTTAGGGGTCAGCATTTTAAACCTACTTTATTGGGGCTGAAGACCTGAGAATGGTCCAACCCCACACAGTGCAAGAACAACAGACACTACTGTGGATGAACAGAAAAGCAACAACATTTCTCGTGAGACGGCGGCCAGTTTTGTGGGAAGGGGGAAGCCACACACATCTGCTCTGAACATGGTGTATAAACAGCACATTTGCCACCCACCATATGGGGATTGAGTGAAAAAACACTTCAGGGGCTGGAGGGCGGTCAGCTGTATCTACTCTGCTAGGCTCCGTGGCGGCCTGTTATCTTCACGGTATGGTCTTTTGTACCATTTGTGAAGATTTGTATGCTGGTCAGTATACGACGATGGAGCTGCACTCATTCTGAAAGCCTGTTTTGCTTGTTTGTCCCGGTCATTCAGCTAACAGTGAGAAACAGACACTTCCTTAACACGGCTCTCTTCTGCCAAGAGACTGAAATGAAATCAATCAGTCACATCCAGCAAGTGCGGCATGACGTTGGGATGCAGGAAGGGAAGGAGGGAGAGGGAAGCAAGCGCCAGACAAGACCAAACAGGCAATCTCAATCTTACTACAAATGACTTCCGTGGCCTCCCAATAAGCCACTCTCAACTGCCGTGCGAATGACTTTCCCAACAGAGCTTGTCCCTCTAGGGATCATGCTGGCTATAGTCTGATTCTGGGTAAATATGGTGCTCACCTTTCCGCCTCATTACAACTAAATAAACCCACCACATGATCATATCCCAATTACAGACAGCTGATAAAACAGTGTGCTGCCGATTAACTCGCGCAGCAAAGACCCTCGACTCTAATTAGCTGTCTCACAGGCAGGATGTGGGACATGGACTTCACCATGTTGCTCTGCTGAACACATCATACAAGAGTTCAGAATTGCTGATCACATTGTTTACTGTGACAAGGCTGTTCTTCAAGTTAGGAGAAAGAAGAACATTGTGAAATAGAAGTATAATTTCACATGCTTTTAAAAAAGAGTACTTATTATGGAGATATCATTTGAAAGAAAAACATGAACTGAATGCAATGTCAGTTCATGTCAGTTAATTGCATGTAAATTAAAACATATTATAGATTAAATTAAAAGCAATTAGCTGAACTGCTTTTAGAAGTACAATTTTATACATCATTTCCTAATTACTTCTATGGTCTTTGAAATATGGTTAAAGTTTAAAGTGCCAGATGTACTGACAAGCATTTAGGGTAAAATAAAATGTACTTTAATATATTTTTTTTTAAATTGAAACTTGTTTGAAATGTATTTAAATTGATTTGTAATAATACATTTGAAATGGTGATTTACATATATTAACTTTAAATGTATAACACTCCAGTAAAAACTATAATCGAGCACTACAGTATGGATGCACTTTAGTGTGTTGATAAACACATCAAAATAAGTTTACTTCTTTAAAGCACAACCAAAAATGATTAAAACCTAATGATTTAAAATGTTCTTTAAAACGTTCAATTTAACATTTACAAAGCGCATTTTTAAAAAGTGTACTAAATTGTACTTCAGAAACAGTCATGAAAGTGTATTCTCTAGAAGTACACTTAAGTAGCCATTTATTACAGTTTTAATTAAAATATATACTTTTAAGATTTGAACTACACTACAAGTGTACATTTATTACAATCAGCTGCATTCCTTTTGTTTATAAGAGGAGACAATACAATTAATTAAAAAAAAAAATTATAAAAAATTTTCACTTACATTTTAAAATGTCATCATTTAAAGGTACTGTATTCTATCGACATTGCTGTTGCCAGCAGTTTGGTTGATCAATATAACAGATATAACCAACACATTGTGAGCTGGACATCGCTATTCACTAACCCATGTCAAATATTTAGGAGGTAAGCTCTGATCTCTGCTTTTCATTACACCTTTAAGCTTCATTCCTCAGGAATGTAACCCTTTGCTCCACAGACTGAGCAATGTGACATTTGGAGGAAAATCTTAATGAAAAAAATTAAGCAGCTTTGACTGGGCATATAATTGCTTCCTGTAAGGTTACAGAAGCTAGTTGGCTGAAATATTTTCCAGTCAAAAAGGCATTTCTAAATGCACACACTCACACATGTACATCACACTTTTAACATGCCGTGCTCTCACTTGTAGCATATTTAAGTATTTACATATCCAATAAATATCCTGTACAAAAAATGATAACTAAATATATGGTATCTCGGGCACAGTACAACAGCAGTACTGAAAACGGCACTTCTACTGTATCTGAATGACATATTACATATTAAATTATATATTATATTTGAAATGTTTTATGCACACAGTGTTTCATCTGCTTGG